GGGGGGGGGGGGGGGGGGGGGGGGGTGGAGTGGGGCAAACGGACGGCTGTTGTACGACAAATCTCATTGAAATCGTTTCTAAAACGAAAAACACCGGGCCGTTTGAAAAAAACAGAACGGTGTGCACGCCACGAGAAAAATTGTGAAATATCCAATCGTAATAATAAATCGCCGAAATAAATACAATTTTCACTGCTGTTTCGGTTTCGGTGACACGCCAAAGTGCCGTAAGTGCCGGGTCTCAATAAAAAAATATACGGCGTTGTTGATTTTTTTTTTTTTTTCAACCGTCCGAGAGCGTATACGGCGTACGTGCAGTGCGGCTCTGTGGGAACAACCGTCACTAGTAGTGTTATTGCGGACTGCGCTTTCCGCGTACCTTTGCCCTAACGGAATCGTCCGATAGGCCTACAGGTGTGTGTGTGTACACCGCGCCCGAGTTTTCATCTATAACATTTTACGTGTTTTGTTGAGAGAGAGAGAGAGAGAGAGAGAGAGAAAAAATAAACAATAATAACGACGGTAATTTTTTCGCTATCGGACGATTACAGCGTTCGGTCGCGGCCGGTTATTTTTTCGCGGGGCAATCCGCCGTGTAAACGCGCGCGAAGCGAACGTAACGTTTCGCGATACGGTTTTTTTTTTTTAATAATAAATTATTGTACGTACGCACGTACACGTGCAAACAGCTAAACGATCGATCGGCCGTTAGCGCCGGGCCCGTTTGATCGATTTCGGCGCGCGTTCGTGCACTTGCAAGTGCGAACGCGCGCGAAAACGGCCCCGGACGGGTACTGAATTTCCCGTAGCGCGCGTCCACTGTACGCGGGCACCTTTACGTTTGCGCGGACCGAGTAACGCGTAACGGTTTCGGATTCCCAAACGTGTCGCGCGAGGCGATTTCCGAGACGATACGGTCACGCCGTAACGTCGCGCCGTTATCGGATGACCATTGCGACGGGTCGCTGACGCGTACACGCGGCTGCGGTCGGGTTCCGCCCGGTCCCGCGGACGTTTGTTCGCGTCCGTCCGTCCGCGGGTGCGCGCCCCGAGTGCCGGGATGCCGCGAGTCGCGCGCGCCGGGGTTCGCGGGCTGTTCGTGTCCGTTTCATTTCTTTTTGCGATTATCGGCCCGCCAAAGCGCGTGCACATCATCGGCCCATTTCCGTGATTATTATCCAACGTGATACACGCAAACATTAAATTGCCGTCGTGCCCGACGCCCGTTACCGTATGCCGTATACGAGTGTGCGGGCCTGACGTTAAACGCGCCGAAAACGACGTTTTCTGTTTTCTTTTTTTTTTTTTTCGTCAATTCGCAAACTCTCGTCGACCCCCCCGAAAACGAACTGCACGAGCGGTAAATGCCGTTTGAACGCCCGGACGAGACGAATTACCGGCGAAAACGGTCCGACGACCTAACGACAACGATAACAAGCTCCGCGCTCGTTGACTTCTCGACGGCCGACCCGGCCGACCGTTTGAAAGCCTCGTGCCACTCCATCCTCACAAACGCCGTTTCTCCCCGCGAAAAATCTCGCGTATTATGCGAGGACGTTACGCATCGTGCATTTGTTGTGTCCGTCTTGAAAACACGAGACATAGTAAATACACGCTTACACAGAACTCGCTTGGTTTCGGTTTTTTAGAGTAAAAGCACCTGAACGATACGGAGAACAATATCCCAGAGGGCAAGCCGTTGCGTTTTTTTTTTTTTTTTTTTTGTAAGTTTTAGTGAATTTTAAACACGTTGGAAAAGCCGTCATTTATAAATGGTGAACCGACTGTTACGTTCGGAGAAAATGGAATAAACTCAACGTCTTGCCCTCCGGCATATTGTTCGTTTTTGATTTTATAATAGGTGTTTTCACACTAAAAACCAAAACTAATCGAGTTCTGTGTGTAGTCTGCGTAGGCACGTTTTAAATATATCGCACGTTCGCAAGACGGAAACAACAAACGCATGTGCACCGTTCTCCAATAGAATGACTATCGGACAGCTATGGGTGCTTTTTCACGCGTTTTCCGTCGAACCGGTACAGTGAAAAAAAATTGCAACTATTTTAATATCCTTATAATTCCTTAATATTAATTAATTAATATTCCTTAATATTACCGTTTTTTGCAACCGACATTTTAATAATAATCTTTCAAAACCCGTTTGAGGAATAAAAGTCGCGTGCGGCATACACGAATTTGTACATTCGATTTTACTCTGTGTATTATGAACAATGTCATGCGTTTATAATCTATATAAACTATCGCTTATGATATATTCGATAAACGGACCGTTCGGCAGGGGCGGATACAAGAGGGGTAGGGGCGACAGGGCGGTCGCCCACCCCACCCCCTTTTGGGACTTGTACTTTTTACGTTAATTTTGTACATGCTATACGTAGTGGACGTATTAGCGATAGTCTATAGCAGTACCGCTATACCGGACTTGCCGGCAATAGAATTTGAACGAAAGAAAAATAGATGTGGGCAAATCGGGCGAGGTAAGTGAAAAAACGGTTTTTAGTAAAATCCTGCTCCCCTCCGTCGAACACCCCCTGGATCGGCATACGGGGCACGCGGAATCTGCCCGAACGCCGTTTCGGTAACAACGGCCGCTACCGGAAGTTAATTGAATTATTATTTATTTATTTTTTTTAATAAAAAATTATAATAATTCGCCTGTTTTCACGCGTTAAAAAAAAAAAAATAATAAATTATATTGTACGCAACAATAGAAATTATTACGAGGTTTACTCGATTCTGTCAAGTACCTACCGATAACGTACACAGTCATATAGACGCCGTCGGTTTACCGTGGAAAAAAAAAAACGCGATAATTACGCGGCCGACAGTGTTATAAAAAAACAAAATTACTCACCGTTCGTGCGCTCGGATGCCCGAAATTGAATTCTCTCTTCACTCTCGTCACCCTATGGACGGATTTCGGACGGCGAGTACGTATATAATATGTACGCCCGTCGAAATGCCGCAAACGCCCGTGCACCTGTACAACAATAAAACGGTACGGAAATTAAACGGGCGTCGTTGAGGGGTTCGCGGGCGGGACGAAAACGGAAAACGCAGGGAAAATCGAACTGCACATCGTTGCGTTCACCTAACCTAACCTAACCTAACGCGTCGGTATAGTCCGGTTCACTGCGCTAGGCGGTAAACCGTCACGATTATTTTCGTTTCGGCAATATTGTTTGTTTTTTTTTTTTTTTTTTTTCTCTCCTTATCCGTCGACGGAGTGATATAATTTTTGATAAGGTTATAATGACGGTAATAAACGGACGAATATCATACCGACGACTCTAGGTGTACGTTATAATTCGAGAGATGGCGACGGATTCGATAAAACCGATACGATAACTATAATTATATAACATACGTGTATATAATCTGTCCCGAGGCCTACTCACGCGTCCGATAGGTCATTTTCTTTTTCGTCGGGTATTATGAAAACGTCACGCGTCGGTTTTTTCCGCACATCACGGACGGTTTTCTATTTATTATTCCACGATTTCATAAAATAGTCCGCACAATACCCGATACGATTGCCGGTGGGCACGCGGGAAATTCGTCGCCGTTACAATATTATTGTGTACGAACACAAAATAATGGTGAACCGTTCTGAACCGTTTCGATGAACTCGACTCCGCCGCGCAGCGCAGACGTTTTCACCGCGACCGGCGCGGGTGGGGTGGGGTGGGGGGGGGGGGGGGGGGGGGGGGGGGTGATATGGGGATAGATTCCCTCGCGACCTTCTTTTTTTTTTTTTTCCCGTAAACAGACGTGTCCGACCGGAGTTCATTGTTGCAGCGCATTGCAGTATATGTGTAATTAATTTTTTTTTCCGTGATGTACTCAACGCAAAACCGATATATTTATAACGCTAATTGATAAACAATTTTTAATTCGTTATCGTTTTCTACATTAATCCCGCCGCGCCATTATCGTACAACAATAAATAATATTATAATGCGTGCGTAATTATAACATTACGTATAATTTTATAACGGCTGCACGCAATAAGTGCACGCGGCTAGGCAGAACGTTCGGGATTTCTTCAATTCTGTGACGTTGATTGTGTACGGTATCGATCGAGTATAGAGTATAATCAATAACCGCGGTCATAACGCGCGATAACGTTTTCACGGGCTGACGATTTTAGATTCCGAGTGGAACGAAGAAACTTATAGTTTACAAAGATGTTTATTTTATTTGGTTTTTTTTTATCTGTGCGCGACTTTTCTACCAGAAGACTTGCTCGGATTTCTACGTGTAGCACCTTTTCCGAAAGGGAATTTGGCGTGGGGAGGTACTTTAAAGAGGTGATTTTTCGATTTTATCAAGAGTTTTCTCATCAAATGTGAAAAACCGGAAAAAAAAAAAAAAAACGGAAAATGTATAAGAAATGTAGGTATCAGTTAAAATATATTACGGTCTTCTTTTTTTTCTGTGCACAACTTTTCAACCAGTAATTTTGCTCCAACTTTTAATGATAGTAATGTTTTTAAAATTAAACTTTTTACTAGGCAGGTAAAATGTGAAAAACCGGGATGAAACATGGGAAAACCGGGGAAATCGTAGGAAATGGGACGCGGGCTTTTGCAATTGTCGCCGTAGAAACATTAAGGGGCGACTTGCTCGAAACGGTCATTTATTGTTTTAATATGACTGTGATGTGCCGCCGGATTATATTATTTTTACGCGTGTTATTATATTTAAAATGAAACGACACGATGGTTTTTTTTTTTTTCCGTATTTTAGATAACGTTTTTTTTTTTTTTTCTGCAGGTACGGCGGCGGAGCGACGGTGGCTGACGGGGGTAAATAATTCGCGTGAACAAAACGTTCGGCGTGGCTTAGCGATGAAAAAAAATTGCGGGCGAAAACAAAATGGAGTGTTTTCCGCAGCCGCCGTCGGTTCGCGAGTTCGACGCGAAATACGCGGCGGGGAGGGGAAGGAGGAAATGCAAAATCCCGAACGCCGCGCGTTATATCGGTTTTTAGGGTTATCGATGATAATAATATTAATAATAACAACAACAACAATGATGTTTTAAACCGGTCGGAACATACTTGCAACGTCGCCGGGGGGGGGAGGGGGGGAAACCGACCGATATCGAACGCTACAACATAAACCACCCGAAAAACGTAGCTTACGCGAACCGCGAAAAAAACAACCCCCAAAACGTCCGTCGGGTTCTTTCGCCCGCGAATTAACCCGTACGGTGTCCGACAACAAACGATAATAACGATTATTCGGACGGTGTTATTTTCGCGAACGTTCGACCGTCATTGTATTAATATTTTTTTTTTTTTTTTTTTTAATACATATTATATAAATGTAGTTTTTTTTTTGTTTTTTAATATTTATACGCGCGCACGTTATATACACTTCCTCGTGGCTATAAATTCCGAATCGCATTATGCACGACGTTGCGGCCGGTGGCGGGGGGGGGAGGG